GTGTGTGTGTGTGTGTGTGTGTGTGTGTGTGTGTGTGTGTGTGTGTGTCCAGCTGTGTTGCTCTCAGAGCGAACGAGAAAGCAGGCGAGAAAGCAAACCATAGAAATAGGATAAAGCAGACAAACGAGTATTGGAAACGTTTCAGTATCGATGCGTCATCTAATCGGCTCTACTGATCAAACTATTTGAGTCGAGTATCAGCTGACAATCGGTGAGCGATTGTTTGGAGCCCCCGTGACCCGATCAAAATACTGAAATAAACTTCAGCAAAGCCGACAAAAAGAAAACAAAAGGCAAAACATGAATGGATATTGTGCTTCGAAATGTGAAATTGAGTCAATGGAGCACCACAGTAAAGGAAACCGCCTCTTGTATTATTTTGCAGTTCAATCTTAAAAAATGAACTGCTTAGTTACCAGTTCATGGGTGTCTGGGCTATCGAAAGCAAAATCAACCAAAACTGACATCCTAGCTCAGATCAATATTAGCATAGAGCTGAAAAAAGGCTCAGCCCCCTAGTTTATATCAATGAGACGACTGAGTTGGCTCAGCAAGGGTCCCAATGCAGAGCACTGCTCTTTTGTGACTTATTAAACAGTAGTAAAAGTTAAAATCAATTGATTACTTGTGATGACTTTCCACAGTTAAAAAAAACAAAAACTTTCTCATTGTCATAGTAGTAGTAGTAGTAGTGTTTTGGAATCTGAACAAAAGTATGCCCAGCATACTAAACTGACCAACATAAAAGTGCAGGTTGTTTGTGTTGATTCAAACCACACAAAGGTATTTCATTATATTGACTTAACTCAATTGAGCAAATGTAACTTAACAGTTGGACGTTCGTTTCCCAACTGTATTGATGAAGACCAACTGAGCTATACTTTGTAGTTCCAACGTATATTACTTTTTACATAACTGGTTTTCATTGTTATAATTGTAGTATAGTTAAGTGGACTTACTAAACCTGATTATGTCAACTATTTTCACACAGTGTAGTTAAGTAAATTCAAATCACACTACTTTGCTTGTGTGAAAAAATGAATGTATTATCTGTGTAACAAAATATAGCACCATAACCAAACAGGTCAAATCCCTGAGTTTAAAATAATGAAGCCCGACAAAGACTGATTTGTATCACCTTATCAATCACCATTTTCCATCTTTTTTCTTTATAATGTTTTGCAATGATCACAAAACAGTAAATAAATAGAAAACGAGGCCTAATTCACTCTTACATAGTGAACTACTTCTAACTTAAAAGGTAAAGCTGGTTATTTTCTATATTCTTCATATTGTAAACAAAACCAATAACAATGGGGCTCTATGGCATAAACATATATCAGGCTTTGGAGACATGGACAATACTTGAATTTTAAGACCTTCTGTTTCTAAAGCATCTAAAAACAAATTGGCCTTGTTTGTATAATCCCTAGACATGTAAATAGTGCTTCATCAATCATCAGTGAACTATTTGTGAGTCACGTGATCGCACGCGCCAATTTACACAATTCCCAAGGTGCACAAACAAGAGCTGCGATCATATATTAAAATATATAATACTTAATTTACAAATGGGGAATCCATCATTTATAAAGTATGAAAACACAATAATGAAATACATAATAGACCGGCTTATTAATCAAGAATATAACATTTACAACTGTTGTTATGAACTGCATACTAATGAATTATTAATGTAGGAACAATGCTTTATAAATGATGAATTAAGTGTTTACTCATACTTAACTAATGCTTCATAGTGTGTAGTTATTAAAAAGTGTTACCTATACATGTAGACTGTCCAGCCTTCAAGCTCAGAAATGTTCTTCCAGACAAGAGACATCCTGTAATAATTCACCAGACTTGTGATTAGAACATAGTTAGAACTAGAAAATATATATGACAAGCACACTTTTAGTTTTGCAGTTCTGATTATATTAAAACATCAATACATGTCAAACTCAGGGTTTGGTACAGGTCTGGCTACTGCTACTTGAGCATTTAGTTATAGGCTGGTAAAACAGCATATGGGTTTCAATGATTATTTATTAACTGTTGGCTGATTTGATGCATTGTCAGTTACTGTGTGTGTGTGTGTGTGTGTGTGTGTGTGTGTAGTTCAAGGAGCTCAGTACCAACTCAGAGAGCAAAGGAGATGCACGCTGAAGCGTGATAATAAGTTACCGCAAAAGGTTAAAAAAAGAACCAATAACATTGGAGCTTATCAATACTCCGGTCTTTTAAAATGTAGCATGGGTGCCCGGTTAATACCAGGTTTCAGTACACATCCCTGCTGTCAGCCTAACCATGCAGATGCATGAAACATTGTTCTACATTCTACATACGCATTATTTACGACAGCTTTTTCCAATGCTGTGATATCAATTAGATCAGACTCTCGTGAATCAATGCCTGTTTGATTTCTGACCCTAACATCACCTTATGATGTTCTGTCATAGCAGTGAAAACGTATTCTAAAGCATGTTACAAGCGAGTAAACAAATAAGCAGCAATCAACATTTCAGTTAAAATAACGACTGCATGCAAGAAAAGTTGAAAATAAAAACCTGTTACACCTCAAATGTAACACACTTGTAAAACTAATGTTACTGTTTTAAAAGCTGCCTTAGAAATGTTGCTAATGTTCAAACTAGCGATGAATGCTTGTCCAAAACCCACTAACTTTCTTGCCACAAAAACAAACAGATGGTCCGCAACACAATGATAGTCCTCTGCATTCTCATAATGCAGGTATGCTGTTTTTACTAGCTGTCCTTTCTGCATTCGCCAGTTTAAACTGTGTTACTTTTAGTCTGGATTATGGCTTTAACTTTTTCGCATTTGTGAAATATTATAACCCTCCATGAACCGAGCTTTGATTGGTCAGTAGGCGTTGCTTTGATTTGAGTTGATCTCTCATCTCGAACACAACCTGCTCCAGAGCAAGGTATCACTGAGAATTTAGGATTAACCCTAAAGTTATCACGCTAACCCCAAATCCTCCTTCGTAGTACAGGCCTCAGGTGGTCTACATCGATCATATTACTTGTTTTTGCTCTGTGCAAATTCAACAAACAGCACATGTAATATACAAGCACCAACATTTTAAGCCCAACTGAAATTAAATCTATACAGTAGTTTACTTGCCTTGTGATCTACCTAGAGAGAGAATATGTTAATTGGCTAGCTCGCTAGCTAGCTAAGGTTAGATATCATGATGCACTCAGATATTGCCCATATTTCTGCGAATAATGAACACATACACAGCCAATATCACTTTCTAACCACATTTAGATTAACATCTTCACAGATTGCATTAGAAAAACATACTTAGTAATCAGTTCTTAATTACCCTGTAGTCCGTAGGGTCCTCGCGCCCGCCATTCTCGTGCCACTTTAATTTCTTTCCCCGTCATTCGGTAATTCCCATAATTCCACCCAAGAGTGGAGTGAGCTTCTGAGCATGCGGAGCGTCAGTCATACGGGGATCATGCCGAGGACATCCTTAATTTACCATTTTTGACGTTTGTTTTTTACATTTTGTTAAGGTTAAATCAAGCGTCTTTAACAAGTCTTCAGTTTGAGTTAAACCAATATAGGTGCATTTATTTAATTCAGAAACTCACTTATTGCCTCTCATAGGTTAAGTGGTAAAACAGGTTTAATAGGATATCAGTTAAAAAACTCTATTTGTTTTGATATCCATTGACAACAGAAATGGGCTGTGAATGGCTGAATTAGCCTACATTAGGGTGCTGCAGCGAGCTACAGTGATAAAGAAAGTAGGGGTGGATATATAGTCCAAAAACATTGGCTACACAGACAGCGGTAATGTACACATGATTCTGTATACTGTCTTGTCTGCATACACAGACATCTTCACACACTTTTGTTGGCATATGTTATACACAGTTGTAAATTTTGCACTGCATGTGGACATGGGAAGATGAAACATTTGAAGTCACACTGACTCTTGTCGACGCATGATCAAACGGATTGATTTGAAGTTCATATGTTGGCACTGTAACTAAAGTTTAAAATATCGAAGCAACGACAAATATGTACTTTTGCTGATAAGTCAGGCTACAATAAATTACCAGATCACTCTCTCTGAACTGTTTGCATTCAGGCTTCAAGCTTAGTGGTTGATCAAATTAGATATTTAGTTTACGATCTAGTTTATGTACTAACAAGCAACCAATAGAGAATTCAAACTTGTAAATATGTGTTGTTTCACTTAAAAGTGAAATATTCATGATACGTGCCTCTTTCAGTGTGCTATAAAATGTAAAACATAAGTCCTTGGAAACATGGCACAGCAAGTCTAACACAGGTGATGATAGAAGCAACATCTTCATTTATACTTTAAATAGATATATTCATTCCCTTAAAATATTTTTTTTCATAAACACTAACATACAATACATAATCTTATGGTAAATCTTACCTTTTGTTTGCTTTTTAGACAATTATAGATATTTACATTAGATATTTTAGGCATAACTGACATGCAAAAGTATAAATAACCTATTATATTAGAAAAAGTTTTTTAAATATTAGTTTCAATAGTAATCTATTTACACTAAGTTGACAAAGATTATCGAGCAACAGACTTTCAGCTACCATGTAATTGATGGGTAAACATCTCAAAATGGGCTGAAATATGCCGACACCATTAGATTTATATTTTTCCAAGTACGTTTTCTCACACAGCAGAAGAATATAGGAAACAGGAAATAACATGATTAATGCCTCCACAGTGAAAAGAATTACTCAAATCTTAAAACAAAATGTCTCTTTAATTTGTAAGTGTCAACAGCAGTACAAAAGATGGAGTGATGGAAGAAGTTTTCTGTAACACAGTTTCTGTTTCTTTTACAGAAAAGGAGGGAATTCTTGAGGTAAATGAGTTCAAACAGGCAGTTAGTCATCCCACTGTTGCATTATTACAATGGACTGAGACATACAGAAAATGGTGTTACATTATAATGCCTGAATTGATCCTGTGGGGATAATTTAATCATATACAGTATACACATTTCTATGGTGCCTAGATACACCCAAATGTGTCTCATTGGTTTGTTTTTACTTGATATAGTGTATTAATACTACCAAAGCGGAGAAGACAGCTCTCCACACACACCACTGTAAAATTATTCACCTTAAGTTCACCTCACGTCAATACTGCACATGGAAACCAAAGACTTGCTGGTGTACACTTTGAAGCCAAGCAAAACAAAACAAACATTTTAAAAAAAATTCATAACATTTTAGTTTTTTTTTCTTTTTAGCAATAATACCCCTAGCAAATAATCAATCTTTTGTACTGTATAAAGAAGAACGTGAACACAAATGTGATGGCAAACATTTTTTTTTAAGTTGAATTAAAAACTTTACATTGGACTGTACAAGATATTATGATAAACTATTTACATATTCAGACATATACTTTTTTTTTAAAGCAGCAAGAGACACTATGTATTTCATTTTCTCTACACCCAAACAATACTCGCCATGGGCCTAGGTACCTGCCAGGGAAAAAAAAAAAATCTACGCAGAAAATTGTATCAGGCTGCCAGCAATTTCAAAACAACGGCTCTAGTGATAGAAGAGCCACACACAGTGTTGCTTGAGAGACAACTCTAAAAAGCAAAGTACCAAAGACAACTATAAATGTTGCCCTGAAGAACAAAGTTTACACTTCTGAACAGCAGCTAGCACGTCAGTCCAGCATGTCAGTGAATTGTGCTGATTAAATTAACACAGAGAACATTCCCACCATATACATCACAAAGTTCAGACAGAAAAAATAAATTGAATTACAGTAAGTAATGTTGGAACAGCATACAAGCTTTTGTCTTCAGTTGTTTGTTCAAACCATTGCAAGTGGATTGAGAGAAAACAAATGAGGGCTACATTTGCAGATGGCTGGATAGTCGTGAACATGTTCATTAAAAATCAGCAACAAAAAAAAAAATGACAAGGAGAGAATTAAGTATGAAGCATGCACCGTGTTGGTGCATTTTGCCACATTAAAACAAATAAATATTTGCACGCTCCCACCTTTTTAAAAATCTAAAAAACATTACTTGTGATTGAAACAATCATTCATGAAAAACACTTGTTTATTATAGTTATGTAAATGCCAGCCAGATGCATGCAGATTTTTTGGATGGTATCAGCTCCTCCTAAAAATAATTGCCACAAACTGTGAGTGCCGTTATAACCAAAAAACACAAGTAAGGACATACAGCATACCACATAGATTGTATCATAATTGGAAACAAATTATTCTATAATCCTTTTACATTACTTTTAAACAAGTCTAATGAGTAGATTTAAATTGGTTCTTTGAATAGTCCAGGGAAGATAACATTGGCAAGTGAGGCGCTTCACTCTTTCTCAGGTCCAATACTGCTCTCTTCCAATAGGCAGAAAAAAAAAAATCAGCATCTACATGAGGTACGGTGACTTGTCAGGTTTTAAAAACATGAAACCACGTACAAAAATAAAACATAAAACAGTCAAAATACATAACTTATACTTCACTAATGAACAAAAATATATTTCCTATGTTATATTTACAATAAAATCTAAATGAGATGGTGAATTCACTGAAAACCATTTTTAGCTCAAATTCATCAAACATGTTTTTTTTCTATTTCTCTGATTGTCTGTGTTGTTGTTTTACTGACAATTTTAGAGCCAGCAGTGGCTAATAATAAATACAATATGTTGATACTCTACAATTTCAAATACAATATACAATGCACTGAAGTCTGGTGTTTGACGGCTAACCGAGCCTGCTGTTGAATTTTCTGCTCACTTTCTTGTGCTGAGTCTCTCCCCTATAGGCAGCCCTGAAGCTTAAACAAAGTGTTCATTCATCACATGAGTCTTGCATAAATAAACAAAATAAGTAGACAAAAAAAATGACTCAAATCTGGCAACTGTGAGAGCAAACCCACTTGGAGATTTTTGTTCATTCATGGTGTTTTTTTTTCCTTGAACAGCTTCACATTAATCAGAATTGATAAAAAATACAATTTATATCCAGTGCTTATAACACTTAAGAAACATCGTCTCCTTGTGAGTTCTTGTCATTTTTTTCTCTTTTTTTTTTTTTTTGCTATACAAGCACAGTCAAGTTTCAGTTCCATGAAGAGTCCTCGGTAACTACCAGCCAACTAAAGCATGTGTGGCATGGTCATGAAAATATTTACAATCACATACAAACCAATCTAGCCACCAGCAAACAGGAGCAAACAGCTTGAAAACACCAAACAGTTTGACTTGGAGGGAAATCCACTTGGGTTTGTTTGTAGGAGAGCATCCTTAAAATGTGTAGTACCTCAAAATGAGAATAATGTAGAAAAGATGTGATGGAGAAGAAAATAAAACAGGAATTATGAATGGCCTGGTTAAAAAAACCTACAAGACTATAAGAATATAAATGCTTCCAAAAAGTAGAAACAACGCAAGCAAGCACTGATATTGACAATAAGAGTACAGAAGATATGAGTGCGTAAGAGATATATAGAGCCATCTGTACCAATTAGAGCTAGGAGAAAAATGCAGTGACCAGCAGTGGGGATCTTGACCAGTTGAAGCCAGTGACCAACCATTCAGATCCTTCAAAAAGCTCTGAGCTCTTTCTGAAATGGACAGGTTCAAGGGCAAGGGAAGGGAATAGCAAGAGTCATGCATTAATAATGTTGTATTACAGATGATACCCAGTCGTCAGTCATTTTAATAATCCCCCACAGCTTGATGTACTTGTTCCATCTGCTCGCCAGTGCCTGGTGACTGGGCCAGGGTGGGAGCCCTGTTGAGGCCTTACTACCAGCACTTTGATGGAGAGCACAATGAGGGACACAAACCCCATTTTTATTGTTTCCCATCCCTCCCTAGTGTTTTCTCCTTCTCTGAGCCAGATGGCACCCCCTGGGTGCTGAGGATGCCACGGGCAGGGGTCAGAGCAAGGCATGGCAGGGAGGGAAGCCACTTAGACCTTCTGCCCTGCAAAGAGGATCTGAGTCTCAACATCAAGGCCTTGCTTTATCTAGCTACAGTCTCCAGAAGGTCACCACTTGTCAGCTTGTTTTAGCTGAAATAAGGACAGAGACTTTTTACCCCTTGGTTGTGTCGTTGCATGTTTTCCTGTTATACATGCAAGTGTTAAGTGCTTTCCAAAAGTTGATACAATTATTTTAAAATAACATAAGGCGCAAGGGTGACAGAATAAGATTTGTATAAGTGCACTAATGCAAAAATCAGTGTTTTAAGTTACCCCTGTCATGAGTCTATGACGAGGAAATTTAAGAAACAAACATATGATTTTAGCCTCTGTCTCAGTTTATAAATATCCTCATAAACTGTCACTCCTCTTAAGACTACGGCAGTAATCAACTCATTGCATCAACCCGATGACCGTGCTCCGCTTTAAGACTTCTTAGTGTCAATTTAAGATTTACAATGTCTGAAAAGAATTAAGATTGGAAAAAAATGAAGTTCTAAGACGTAAGACTTTAAACTTGTCGTCCAAATGGGGCTAAAGCTTTTAACAGAACGTACTGTAGCTAAACATTGTACAACATCAATTTGGGATTGTAATGCCCCCAAAGCTGCCTTTCGCTGCTGTTCCAATCCTACAGATTGGAGGCCTTTGGCCCTTTCACATTCTGGCCTGATTACAATCACTCTGATTAAGAATTTGGTGATTCAGACTGGGTTGCAGTGCTGGAAATGAGTTAAGGATGCCACGGTGCTCTGTGTGGACTGGGATGAGGAAATGAAAGGGCTGGCCGCTTTCATTGATGATCACTGCATTGGGCTCCCTGGAGAACAGCTAGCATCACAAGCTACCACCCAAACATGGCGTATACTGTAACCTCCTGCAGAGCCTGCTGCCTCCAAGTTCCTGAGTTTCATTTGTTTATTCTGTTAGGGTAAATTAAAGAAAGTCTGGATAATGAAGCTGTATTAAGGGATCAAGAGATTGTCAAAGACTCATGAAGCCTCTCCCAAAAGATTTTACAGATTTTAGAAACAACTTGAAATGTTTGGCACTTCTGCACTAAATTATGCAGTTTGTGTAATAAAATAACAACAAAACACTAATAATAATAATAATAATAATAATAATAATGTGTAATTTCCCCTCTGTAATAAGTTGGAATCACTCTCTATGAATTTTGAGATATTTTGTACTGATAATACTAATAATTCATTATTGATTACGAACATTCACAAGCTGTTGGCTGGCACACTATACCTGAGTGAGAATATTATCCCCATCTTGAACAGTTATGCAATGTAAATCAAAATCATCTAATTGAAGAAGAAAACAAGGCAAATGTCTGGAAGAATTATAGATCCATGTCAAATGTTCAATTTCAAGTTATGTCTTTTGTTCTATGACCCAATTATGTAAATGTCCATGATCTCAATGAAAAAATAAACAATGAGATAAAAAAAAGAAAGAAAGAAAATCTAAATAACCACAACCAAACTGCTTCACACACTTGAAGAAACACTTAAGACCAAATAGCTTTTGATTCTGATGAAGCCACATCTGCATGCTGGCTCCTGAATGATACACCGTTACTTATTTTACATTTTTAAACCTTTGTGGTGTAGTTTTGTTTTATTTTGCTCTTTCACTCCCTCAGATCAGACCAGCCCTCTGGTCATCCTCCTGTATGAGTGTTGTGTCTGCATCGGCACTGGCCTCTTCTGTGAAAGAGATCTCAGTTGGTGCTGACTGGCTCTTGTGTGTCACTACTATAGTCTGATTTGGGCTCATCCTCAAAATCCTCATACATGTCCATCTCATCCTCTCCATTGACCGGCACACTGTTGTTTACCAAGGTACTGGGCTCTAGCTTCATGTTGTAGGTGCTCTGAATGACGGGAATGGATGGCTCGGGACTCGCTGAGGCACTCGAGCACTCTGATGTCAACTGAGGTGAGGGTGTGGTCGTTGCCATTGTGATGGCCCCGGGATAGACCATACTGGCGCTGGTGGTGATAGGAATCTGTGGTGGCTGTCTGGATGTACGAGAGAGAGAAAAACAATTAAGATATCACACACACGACTTACTTTTAAAACGAATTAGATTTTCAAAAGAAAATATAAGAAAATGATAAAAGAACATATATATGTATGTTCTATTTTTTTAAATCGTAGCTTGAGATTTCATATACAGTATATATATTTATAATTTTTTTTTTTTTTTTTGCACTTAAACTGAAATGGTTGGTTTCCCACAGCATTCAGCTTTAAGCCAGCATCTCTGTGAAAAGGATTTGGGAAAAGAGAGGTTCTCCTGACAGCTCCTGTCTTGAGCTGTTCAGAAACACTACCCAGTTTATTGGTGACATAAAACCAATACGTGGTTAGCGCTGCTCTTGTCTGCTGTTGCGTTGGATGATTGATACTCCAGCCGCTGCAGCTTATGACTGACATGGGAACACCTGGAGAAGGGTTCTCCTGCTAACCACACACAGTAAATTAAAGTGTTAAGCTTCGGAGTGCTGCCCTCCAGGCTTCTATAAGTCCATACTTAAAGCTTATATCATGTAATAATGTCTGCACTCCATTGGCAGACTGCTATTGTCTAAAATTATTAAATCACAGCTATAAAAAAACACTATTTTAATGTATATGTCAGACCCTTGTCTTAAAACCAAAACAGTAGAGGTTAACTCAACATTCCCTTTTGGAAAGGGTGTATGAGGAGAAGCTTTAAGGAGGCTAAAAACTAGCATCCACTTGATATGTTTTGGGATTTTCTGTGTGTTAGTGTGGATAGTTAGTGGGACTTGCGCACCTACCCCACAGTAAAGAACTGCCGCATCTCTTGTCGCCGTGAGCGCATCATCTGCTTGTACTCTCCAATGCGGAGTTTTTTCCCGTCGATAATGCAGGTCCTCTTAGGCCGCGGCTTGTACTTGTAGTTTGGGTACTTCTCTAGGTGTTGCTTACTCAGACGGGCCTGCTCCTCATAGAATGGCTGCTTGTCCTGGTTAGTCATGGACTTCCACCGGGAACCTACACAATACAGTCGATTTAGAGTTTCAGAATTTGAACATAAGCGGGAAAAAAAAGCTATTTTAATAACTGATAGTGATTAAAATGATCAGTAATGCAACTATATATAGTCCAAAACAAACATTTTATCACATTTGGCCAAAGCCTACTTTAACACTGAACTGTACCATAAGAGTACATTTTCTGGCAAAATCATGATTTATTGTTTGTTCCTCACCAACCTCTTGATATTACATAATCTGAGACTAGAGGCATGCTTTCGATGTCAAACAGCAAGAAACAACAGGCTAGTGCAGTAAATACTGCAGCTCTGTGAAGTGTCCTAGGTACTGGATGACAGCACTTTTAACAGCTCTGATGTATGGACTCCAATGCTGAGGGGACAAGACCCATTTAGCCTCTGTCATTTTTCATGACAAACACTTATGGTAGTGATGGGCTATAAATCCATCTGTGTGCCGTGGTGACCTGATGCACAGTGGCCTGTGAGATAACACACCCTCCTTCAGATGCTAGCTACTTTGTCAAATCAACTGTGTGTTACACACAAACAATTCAGATTGATTCACGATATCACAGAAAGCAAGTTCACCACCTCTACCGTGTGTCGTGAAAGACCTTTCTAATCATTAGCTGTAAACACTGAAAGTTTATCAGTGAGTTAGGTGCCTCTGCTTCAGCTGGAGGGTGAGAGGAACAGAGGCAGAATGGAAAGTGTGAAAGGGTAATAAAGAGCAATGTTGGTTTGATATCATTTTTCAGTCCCTTACCGGTGGCTTTACAAAAGCAGTTACAGCGCCCTTGTCTTAAGAGAGGGCTACCTTGAAATATTTGCTTGACCGACTTGTATTTGATTGCAAAAGTCTTACCCAAAATCTTGCTTATGTTGGAGTTGTGCATGTCGGGGAAGGCCTGGAGGATCTTGCGCCGCTCATCCTTGGCCCACACCATGAATGCATTCATTGGCCTTTTAATGTGGGGCTCGTTGTTGTTCCTTCCTCTGGCTTCCCTGAAGACGCGTGCCTCAGTAGATCCAGCGCCTCCTGTTGGCCAACAATAATTGGGTTAGGGTTTATCTGCAGAGCAATTTACTTCCCAGGAACAGCGACCCAGGACATTGATTAAATGATGAGCCACGTTCAAACTCTCCATCTACTGTCCTCATCATGAACAATGTTTCAGATGAGTGCTGGGCTGCAGATCCTCTTAGAGAGGGTATATTTTATATCGAGTGGAATACCTGACTCGACAGGCTTACATTTGATGTGCAATAAAAATGAATACAATGTCAGTTTAAGGGGGAGCTGCGCTCTTTAACTTATACTTAGGTCCATCCAAAAACAAAAGCGCAAGACCTTGGACTTCTATGGCAGTAAAATATTTTGTCTGCAAGTGTTCGCACTCTACTATTCAATTTGACGTTCATAGTTTCCATAAAAAGTGCAAGAATGCAAACATAAATAACAAACATAGTTCTTGAGGCATATGAAAAATTTACAATTCAACACATATACACAAAATAAATTCAAGCACGCCATTCCTCCTGCTCTCCTTCCTGCTTTAGTCTCTCTCTCTTTTTTCCTTCTGTCATTTTCTCACTCACTCTTTCTCTCCACATTTGCGATGAGAGACTGTGCCGATTCTGCAAAGTGCCGTTTCTCAATCAGGGCATTCACAATCAGCATAAGAGAGTTTCTCTCAGTATTAAACTGTACATCAGGCTGATAATGATTTCTGTTTGCATGCGCATTTGCTTCCTTTTATATGTAAGATGTGAAAGAATTAAATAAAAGCAGTATGAATATTTAAACAAACAAAAACATGTTGATAAACAAGGCTTGAAAAATAAGACAAAAAAAGCCTTCCATATGCTACGATACATCTTTAATGATCTCAAATCTGGAAAAGAAAGCTTGGGATGACTCATGCATATTTCATCATCCACATGTGAAGCCTTCTCATTAGACCATTCCACTAGCAGCCTTGGCACACGTTACCTGTGGTTTGATTTCTATTATTTCAGTTGATAAACAAAATCAAATTCTTAATGAGTAATGGAGGGCTGTGCAGAGAAATTAATTCCAAATCCACAGAAACCTCACTTTGCTCCAATCACTGAAGATGCTGCGGCACCATTTCAGCCTCAAGAGATTGAGTGTTGTCACTTTGGAAAAGCGTGTCTTCTTTTGCAAAAGTATTATAGGAGACAAGTAGTGAAAGGGCAATATAAGTAGACACACAAACACACACAGATGCTGTCCTGAAGGAGCCCACAACCACCTCCAGTATAAAAGAGATTGCAGGAGGTGCGGTGGAAGTTTGATTTCTGCTCACAGAGAATGTTTCAGGTCCCGTTGCCCACTAAGAAACCTGTTTCTCTCAGTACAAAGGCCCCCCAATTCAATTTTCACCAGAACATATTTAACAATCAAACAGCCACATTTAAGATTGCCGTCATATGGTAGACCAGTGAAAATGTGTTCTCACATTGTGGCTCTGCACTAGTTGCTGCCTAAAGGATTCAGCTCTTTCCCAATGAAAGAGTCACAATATTATAATTCATGTGTTCATGTTTCCGTCTTCAGCAAATATGCTTCAAAAAAAAAAAACTGACACTTGTTTTTTTCGGGGGGAACCACCTCTGATTTTTATAATAATGATACAAATTTTTATATATATATATATATATATATATAATTATTGTTATTAGAAAATATATTTCAAAAAGTCCTAAAATCTTGTGTCATAGATTAATATATTTAGTATTACATTTTCACCAAATAGTGAATCATATATTTTGACAAGGGACTTTTTCTCCTTTTTTTAATTTCATATGATAATCTACAAAATAGCCTAATCTGAAAAACCCTTTCCTTTGCTCAGTCTCTCACATACAGGATGCACAAAAATACTAAATCACAACACGTAAGAGGTATTTTCATTGACACTTTTTCGAACTCTGCAAATACCGTCTCTTGTTCTGCCTTCTAGAAGTCTATGGGCCCTAAAGCCACCATGAATTCAGAAATAATACACTACCTTTGCTGCCACCGAACCCCACAGTACGTTAATTTCATTTAGCATGCACTCACTGTACAGGATGAATTGATTTCACTTTGTTTGGTTTTGACAACCATGTTTATTGTGCAATGAAATGTGGTGTGGCGGAGGGCTGACAGTATCCATCAACGCGGGGCAATCTGCTGACTGCCGGGGCCAGATGAAGGTATTCATTAGCTCAGGAGCGCAGCGCTCACTCAGACACGACAGCCAGTGTCTGCGCCCCGGGATCGCTTGCTGTAATTTACGATGCCTCCCGTGCCATTACTCTATCACTGACACTGATTCAGCAATTTATATACTGGTGTGCATGCATACGGGCAGAGGTGAGCTTCTTACGGGGAGGGGGACAAAACAACCGCCTGCCATCAGCTAGTGCCACATCCATAGTTAGCCAGGAAACCAGCCACGTGACTTGGTTCATTGGAGGGAATCCAGATGAGGCATGGTTTTTTGCTCACATGATGGCACATAGAAAAGTGCCTGTCTGATGCTACAGAACGCCGTTGAAATGAACAACAGCAGTGTTACATCATCTTCACCCGTACTGAGGCAGGTGGTGTGGTCCTGGATTTGTAAAACACAAAGTAATGGAGGTATCAAGTTGTCTCAGATGTAAGCCTGCCTCTGGCAAACCAACATCCTAACACAGTTTGAACTTTGACCTGAAATTATAATAAAGTCTTCACTGTAATCTCTCTGATTACAAACCAAGCATTACAGTACAGCCCCAATAATATATATGACTCAATCAGAGGCATCCTGCGCATTACCAGCCAGTCTCAGCAAATCCCTAGAAGCTGCAACATGCAATTTACTGCCACATTGTTTCTGTCTTTTCATTGAAAATCATGACACTGGTCTGACATTTTGCAAATGAGCATTAACATTTTTTTTCCAGGAGGTGCAAGACATTTAGGAATCAGTTAGTTAGGTGTGTGATTGTGTAAATAAACACAGATGTTTAGCAGTGACAGGGGCAGGCCCCCTGGGTGGTAGCTGGGGAAGGGAGCGAAACAGAGGGAGCGCTGGTTAATAGAATTTATTGTGATTCATGAGGCCTGCAGCTCAAGTGTGACAGAGCAATATGAGAATCCTCTTTTAATTTGTCTCTCCTGGAAACACTGCAGATGAGCAGCATGAATTACAGTGAGAAAGAATGATTGTGTGTGTGTGGAGGGGGGGTATAATAAATAAAGAAGCAAGAGCGGATAAAGACGAAGCAGAAACAAGGGAAAGAAATGGAGAGAGAATGTAATGAGGCCCAAAAGCCCATCACACCTGTGAGCTGCAGGCTCAGACTCGACCATGTACCAAGCTAGAGGGTAGCACTGCCCCTGCCATCTCCTCTCATCCCCCTTTTCTCCTCCTTTACTAATCTTTGTTCTGCGGGCAGACACATAATGTCACCCAGGAATCCACTCAAGAGGATGAGCCTCAGTGAGCAGGCAACAATCACGCAAACCTGCCAAACCACTCCCTGTTGGGATCACATTTAACACCTCTGACTGAAGGCATTTACTACTGACAATAGAGCCTCTCCCTCAGAGCAGGATCAGGCGAGATTAATGTGTATGGACAGACAGGAGACAGCTCTCAGTGTCCCTGTTCTAGCCTGAGCTCATAGCATGCTAATTAAACCATTACAAATTACAAGTGATATAAGCCCCATTATAACATGTCAATCCTTTTTTTCTTTCCAGTTAGGACGATTTGAGTTATCTGGAGCACTTGTTCGTGTGAGTGTGTGTGCATGGGAACTTGGGAACAAACGACCAACCTGTTTCAACATGTAGGCTCTGGCTTTTACTTTTGTCTACTCTATTCCCTCTCATATGCATTTAGCTTAAGAGTGGAGTCTATTCTTTCACAACATCCTAGCTTTGTAAACACAGGAGGAGATGCATGGATATACAAACACACAGAAACACAGAGAAATGTGTCCAATTGGGGGTAAATTTGAATTTGTCAACTTCAAAACAACTTTCTTCCTGATTGTCATGACCTATTCACCTATTGTTGTTGTCACTTGTTAAATCATTATGTCTGAGCCTCCTCATCTAAGTTTTCTTCTAGGAAAAGCAATAAAAGTCAGTGCTCGATTCCCACGGCCTCACAGTGGAAGAAAAACAACAACATGCCCCCTCTTCAAACAATCAACTTGAATAAAACTCCAAAACAGCTTCAAGCTACCGATGTAAAGGAACCCATCAATGTAACAACAATGCAACACTACGGTTCTTCTCATCCTATTCCATGAGGACATTGTTAGAGACACTGCTTGGCTAAAGCCCCATCTTTTCTCACTCTACGGTTGATATTATCACACTGGGCATTAAGATTAATTCTGTTTCCTGCCTCCACACATCTCTCAACAACCTCTTTGTTCTCTACGGACTCTCAGTGATGGGGGCGGTTTAGACAAACAGAAAACCTCAGCTACACAGAAACTCCATACTGCCATATGCGAATGAACAAAGGTCCTGGCTGGGCTGAGGCCTTTGTGGTATTTGGTAATGTTTTTTTCAGAGCTTAAAAAGACTTAATGAATTTGCGGGGGTTCTTGCGTGTGGCTCGTGGAAATCCTATCTATTTCCATTCCTTTGGCACTTTTTTTCCAAGTCGTTAGGACTTTGGAAGCTGCATGCCTCGCAAATATTAGCTTAAGCAACCAAAAGCTTTCTGTGAACTGCTGTGATGACAGACGTGCGCTGTACTCTGGGTCTACTCAATGTGGCCGCTCTGTTCTGCTACACACCCGGGGGCTTTCACACCCTATGTTAGGGCTAGGAGGTACACCCAGTAATTTTCCTTTTCATGAAAGTATACAGAATGCAGTGTGTTCTGAACTACTGAGGAAAAGTGTGAGATTTCAAATTATATTCCCTCCTTCTGTACCAGAGTGGTGCCAAAAATAAAATCACATTTGCAACTTAAGTTCTATTTATTTATGTTTTTATGTATTTAGTATTCAGTAAGCATTGATTTGGCAATTTGCAGGTCAAAATGTGTAGGTTAAAACTGGGCTGATATAGGTAAAAAAGTAAACATTAGTGATAAAAATGACTATTTTATTGTGAAGCAGATGCTGAGTACATGTTGAAATATAGTATTTTAAATGTAATTCAAACAACTGTAATATATACACTTAACATAAATAAAACATTTTCCTTGTCACCAAAATGTTTTCCTGGTTATAACACTGACACCTGCATGACTTCTGACATGCAAATCAGCAAAGGAGAGCTTTCTAGGTTACTAAATAGAGCACAAATAAGATGCAATTAGATGGATACTATACGTTTCTATGAATCAAAGTATACCTCTATTGGTCCAGGGAGCAGAAAATCCTCACAACAAGGATTTCAAAAGTAAACATGTTCTCAGAAGAGTAAACACTTTGTGGTTCACATCATAAAACCCTGCTTCACATCATTCAACCGTATGTGTTTTCCTGTTGGTGAAGCTGAAAGAGACAGACAGATATATTTGTGGTTAAAGAGAAGAAATGCTAACTGTGTGTTTTGAGTTATGTGCACTGCCCTGACTCCCAGCCATTTCCCCCTGGGAAGAGGACCTCTCCTCTCCTCTAACCTCTGCTTGCTCCTAATCCATAGCCCACTGGGAACACTGATGTGAGGCGTCTGGCGCATGCCTTTCCCTCGGCCCTTTGCAGGACTTAAAAGGACACAACTGCCCTGGTGTGCGCTCTGTTTCAGTCCCGACTCCACAGTAGCCACAGAGAGAAGGTTCCCACTGGGAGAATGAGCACTGGAAGCACATCTGTCCGAGGAGTCAGACGGGTGGGATGGGATCTGCTGCTGTGGCTCACATGGGAAACATGTCAATGAATCCACTAAATGCACCTCTACTTCTCATCTTCACGATGGGTGTGATGTGAGAAGATATTTACTTTGGAGTCTGTAAACAATTTTTTTTTTTTTATTATTGGGAGTAAAAATATATATATATTTTGTAAAAGTCTATGTGAACCAATTATGCAGGAGCATTTCTTTCTATAACTGATGGGAAATGTATGTGTAAGATGCTATTTAAAGATGTTGATGGTTACATTGTCCTGAGAAATATCTATCCTTCTGCCTCGAGAGTCTTTGAGGCATCAAAGATGAGTCAGAACCATTTTCCTCTTTGCTCTGGCTCTGAAGTGCCATGGAAACTGCCACAAATATTTATGTCGGACAAACACTGGTGCACTGAGGTACGTCTCGCTCCTGTGAAGGAGCCAGCGCCACAAAGGGAGATGACGCTTTGTCACACTGGTGCAACCCAAATTTACACCCCTGTGCCCAGGACCTCAAACAAGCACAACAGCAACAGGAGCTGAGCTTGGAAAAAAGCCAGCTTTGTCCTCAGGCACCCTTGTCCTCTACTCACCTACCTGTGAAAACCTCGGAGCCACGGCTCATTTCAAATGGCTTTCACCCCAACCCCCACATCTCCCTCACACATACGCACGTTTCTGCACACACCCACACACTCTACCGGAGTTGCAGGCTTTATCAGCCATCAAAACTCCTTTTGCTTTCAAAGTTCAGATTTAGTCTATACAGAATCCACTTAAGTTTAATAAGTCAACTACGTGCAATGAAAAAAAAAAAAAGAGAAAAACACAAATATGGCCTTACCATCAAGATCCTCTGGCCTGGTGAGGTCAATAACTCTGTGGCCGATCTTTCCTTCCTCACCCAGCTTGCCAAGGTGGTGCCCGATGCTCTCAAAATGCGCCCTCTCCTACAGGGAAACACAAACAGTCAGGTACATGGACAAGCACATACACACATTTGTACAGTGATAGAATTGTAAAAATAACCCCATCAGGAATCTGAAAAGAAAAAAAGTGTCTTTGGTAAATAGAGGTTCTTTTGAAGAGCTGCTCTTTTGACATGAGCTAGATGTAGCTTTTTCCTCTCATCTCTCTATTCAGCAGCTGCTATAATGGATGACAGGAGGCAGCGAGACAGTGAGGGCCAGGGGTGCTGCAAATAGATTTACAGAAGGATACTTTGTGATCCGAGGCACACAATGGGGCCGTGGCCCTCTTTGCAATGCTCAGATTTTCCTCTGTAATCTTCTCCTTACATCCTCCCTTCCAGTCTACAGTGCCCAGAGCTCAGCGCCCATCATTTATTCAGAGTTCATGCTTTAGAGAACACACCGTGTTTTCCCGTTTGTCATGTCGCTTTGTGCTCAGATTAAACTTGGCATCATGTTGTACTTGACGCACAATGAAACCCTGTCATTCAGCGCTCCGTGACAATATTAAATGTCATGTCCGTGTGCATTTACAGAATAAAATAACAGCTTTCGGGGGGCCTCTGAATAGTTGCTGCACATTACACTTAATGTATTATGCAAGGGGAGAGTGCCGACTGCTGCTGGCGCCATTGTTGAATGACCTACTTCCTCAGTGAATACACAGGGCATTAGCAAAGGGCTGTCTTCCTCTCTAAAGACTCAACTAGGAGATGGACACTTTGACTCTGCATGATACAAATAATCTCTCCCCCGCTAGGTTTCGCCTGGATGACACTAAAAGCAGGCATGTTGCCACCATTCAGAAAAAAAAGCATTTGTTTTACTCCCAGGGTGAGCGTTCAATCTCTGCCAAAGATGTACTGTCTGCACTGACCTCTGCCTCTTTCTTTTCTAAACATGCCTATCACATGCAGTCCGAACAGAAACCCGGGTAGTCCCCACATAATACTAACAGCTCCCCTGACACACACACACATTAATACTTTAGTCCCTTCTTTGTAATGCATTGCACCTTTTCGCCTACATGGAAGTTCCCCCCCCCCCGACAGGAAAAGGTGCTCAAAAATGAAGCAGACCTAACTATTGTAAGAGAAGATATTTGTTTTTACAGCTGCATTTGATGAATTTTGATATATTTTCCTGGCAAGTAAAGTAATGTGGTCAACAACAACCATCAGTAATTACAGCACATTTTTAAAAAAATATTTAAAAATCGTCTTTCTTTTGTATGTCTTTTTTTCCTTCAGGGTTAAAAAAAAAAAAAAATGACAAGATGAAGGATGAAGATAGTCAAAATCCATTCGAGGCCTTTCACAGTATTTTGATTTTCCTCATGCTTTTATTTATTTAAGAACTATTCCTCAAAAGAAAGGACTGCGAAAGAGACAGAAAGAGCACTGCAATTTACCATCATACTTAAAGGAGAAGTCATTTTTTATGGCCAGCTGAGTGATTTTGATATACAATTAACCACTACCTGCTTATGGCCTGTGATTAGAGCCTGTCTATCTGACGGCCCTTTGCTTACTTAAGTGTTTTCTAATTATGACATATGTGGTGGTCCCTGCTGGGCAAGAGGACGCTTTGTAAAGAGAAGATGGAGTGTGGCGCTTCTCTCGGTGTCACATTCTGCGTAAAGCAACACATGCACGGATCTGTATTCATCACCCAGCCACATTATTGCTCTTAATGAAAGAAGCTAGCAGCCCAATGACAAAGTGACTGATGTGCGATTAGCTGGATGGGCAATGGTGCTGCCTCTGATGTTACTTGGACAGTCCACTAGGAAGACACAGCGTTCATGGGTACTGTATATCTGTAATAAAGTAGTCATCTCGTCCCTCTTCTGCGCTTCGTTGGTCCCTCATGATCAATCAAGTCCTTTTATAAACTCATGATCATTAAGCATCATGTTGGGCTGAGAAGGAGAGCGAACAGGGCCCATCCATCAGTGAATTTCATTAATAACTAGCTCAGTGTTGAACTTCTTTCTCCATCGCACAAAGTCATATGATTAGTGAACATCAGCACATTAGACAGCTGGGAACTAGACTGAATGAGTCTCTTGTTGGGGGATTCTTTGAGGTAGCTTTGACATAAAAATGATTATGTGTTTCTTTGTTGTTATATAGAAACATGTTCATATACTTAATAAAAGCCCGGACTTTACATATTTGACATAATGTAGTAGTTACAGTCAGTAATCATCCCTTCCTTGTGTTAGCTTGCTAATTAGTATCAGAAAATCTGTGCAATATGGTATCACAAATTTTCATTAACTTTTATATACTGAGCTTAATATACTTATTGGTTAAGTTTGGTAATTTATATCTGTGAATTAGAATTAGAGCCATAAATTATCTGCAGAGCATCAGGGTTTTGTTTTAAGGTTCGAAAATATTCAGTGAACTAATGCTTCTTTACCGCCCACGCATCAAGTGCTGTGATAAATTAATGGCACTTTTATTATTTTATAGTGTCATTAAATTTTTACTGATCACTCTGACACAGAGAAGCAGCAAAGGACATGCAGTATCTAGGGAAGCTGGCCATCCAGCCAGGAAAAGAGGGAGTGTATGCGGCTGATTTAAAAAGGTGTACAGTACAAGGGAACAACAGAAGATAAAAGTAAAATTTAAGATAAAGAGACAGGAAATAAAAGATGTAACAGTACACATTATTCCCCTCCCATTTTGACCACGACCGCTGGCAAACAAGCGATCCCTCCCTCAAATGACTTCAGCATGCAGCTCTCCACCCCACAACTAAAATTATAGCACTCTGAGCTGCAGTGGAAAACTGCCACCCACAATAATCTCATCTGCCCTGCCTGTGCAGTCTTTTGTCTTCAAAGTTTGGTAACAGATACAATTTTGTTCAGTTGTACACTGCCGCCAAGTGATGTCATGAGCCAGTTCTGTGTAGTCATGAGTCACGGAGGAAGAGAGAGAAGTAGGAAGAGGAGAGATAATGGAGTCTCTGCAACTTCTTGGGCGAGGGAACCCAAAAGAACCCTCGTCAATGCTGTAAAGAGAGCTTTAATCTGGCCGGCCGCAGAACATGTGCCGGAGGCCTGCTGCTCTGCACACAGGGTGTATTCTGGGCAGAGGCGGGTGGCCGACGGCCCTGTGCATTGTGCTTACTCCTGCCCTGTATTTAGGCAACGCATTGACACTCCTTCACTCTCTCCTTTGTAAATAGCTCAAGGCTACAGGCAAAGCCATATGGCCTGGGATTGTTCATATAGAGATGAAAGAAAAATACACAGAAGAGTAAAGTAGGCTCTGGTGCAGATTAGCGGGAATGTTTTTTGAGTTTGCTCAGTTTGTTGGGTCAGGTATATCGATACAGAATGACAACTATCTTAATCTGGATTAAAGTTTTCATTTAACATCATAGAACAGACAATTTATGCTTTTTGGTGGTAAAAATCTGGACTATGATGTAACTTTTTCTTAGTCCCGTATACCTTGAATAAAATAGACAAACCAGGCCTTGTTGAATATTATAGGACTAGAATCTAGGTTAGGTCCAAAACGTGCTTTAATTAATTTTGTTATATTTCAATTCACCGTTATAAATAGTTTTTTGTTATGATTGTTGTGATTTTTGTGTGATTTTGGCAACAAAATGAACCGACTCCATATTGAAAAAAATGTAAACTAAACGATACAAGGACAGATTAAGTTGGCATGTTTGCTCGCCAAAACATTTTGACATCAGAATGATTATCTGAAGAGAAAACTGCTAGATTTCTTTCAACCGGCTGGCAGGCATGACACATTTTACTCCTTCCAAAATAATCAGTTGCCAACTTAAAGTCATATAATAGTCTGGTTATGTTTTGGCTGTGTAGTGTATAAACAGTAAACTACATGTCTAGCCCTTTCTGTGACAGCTGTAACCCCTTTACTTTCCAATATCTCTAAACTATAGGTAAAATCTCATCCATGTTTCCTTTATGGTGGAAAACATGTGACTGCATATGTTTGAAATTTTCATCATTGCAACCTTCAACAGCTGCAGGACCCTAAACAGCCACTTATGTGTGATAATGTGCAGAACTGGCTCTGGTTGTATCACACACCTGGTATGTGGCAAGTTGAAGGCAATGGCTCTTTGACCACAATACAGGGCTTTGTGTATCAAGTGTCAGTCATCACTGTGGTCTGTGGCCCTCAGAGTCTTCTCTCTGAGGGTCTCAGTCTAAACCCCTCAACAATCTGTCCCAGCCCTGATGGAGACAAAGACTGCACTTTAACGTGGCTACAGCTCCTCACAGCTCAGCGCCTCATCTGTTTTATATTTTTATTGTAACCAGTTGCAATGTCATTTATAAGTCTGCAGCTTTCCAGTAGATTTTGCTAGTTTTGAACCATTTAAATGTTAAGTACATCCAGCCATGCGGTATAACCCACAGTTACTTTCATGCAGACTGTTGCTCTCTTTTTACCCGGAGCTCTCCCTTTGCTAAGGCTAATGCAGGCAGCAGCAAAATCAACAGTAGCAGCCACAAAAGGCTGGCATCTGTTCTATAGTAGTTGTCCTCAACACAGAGCAGAGATGGCCAGCTATTCCAGTCCAATTTGTACTGCCAGGGCATCACCTCATTTGTTTAAAACAGAGGGAGGAATGGCCTTTAATTAAATTAGGGGCTTAAAGTATGTTTAAAAAAAAAAATTGTGAGGTAACTCTACTCTGGGCTTTCTGCCAATTTAATGTTTATTGGGTTTTTTTTAATAAAAGGATATGCTGTAATTATTCAAGATGAGTTACTTTTTGTTGGCAAGAAAAAAAGTCAAACCCACAAAATGTGACCTTTCAGTGCCAATTCAAATGTGCATTTAGTCTAAAGATCTGGATTTCTTCTACACACTGTTGTGTCTACTTTGGAACATTTTGAGATAATCTTCAATACATTATACCTATTTTGTTGAGTATAAAACATTGCAATTTTGTGTCATCTTCAACAGAATGAGATGTTGAAAATGTCATAATTGTATGTGTAATATGCAACTTTCTCTCCGTGTGACCCATTTCTGACTCAGTGTTCAGTTCTTCTCCGTACTGCTGAGATCATTTGTGTTGACATCGTGTAGTTTTACGGGTTTCCAATCCTCAATGATCCAGAACTGTTCACTGGGTCCTCCAGGGAATGTTAAGTTGGTCTGAAATCTCCTGCCTTATCAAACCCTCCAGGTTGCAAACAGCAGGACATTAGAAACTGCGGCATTACAAAAACCCCTTTCACATATGGACAAAACCTCAAGACTTGTTGGACACTGCAGCCATTATGCTCCTGCTGCAACAATACCATAGACTAGAAATGGCCATTGTGGCCTATTCTTTTCCTCATCCTTTGTTGTATGTGCCTTGTGGTGAGTGCGGCATCACAGGTCTTAGCCACCGAGGCCAGCAGCATTTCTGAGCAACAGAAGCTGGCCAGAAATTCACCATGTAAAATGACACCTGCAGAAAATAATGGAGCCACCACTGCCAAATGACCCAACCAAGATGCAGTCTTGATGTCTTTCTGCGGAAGAGGCGAGACAGAGCTAAAGACCGGACCTGGGATAGGAGCCCGCAGACACACACACACACACACATATTATCCAGAGTCATACATTATTTTTATTCTTTTGGCAAACATGAATAATTGGACAAAGCATTAATGTAAGCAATCTTCACAATAGCACTTGCTGGCTACAGCCAGTGTCTGGGAGCTAAGCATAATCTAATTTGGATGGGCAAACCCTTGTATGCCAAGGATTTACATTGCAGCCAAAACGCCTTGGTTTGCAATTTCCAAGACAGCAGCCGAAAAGGAGCAGAAAATTGCTTCCAGGGCTGCAGACCAGACAAGATTATATTCAAAGTCTTTGTGAGGGCTTTGCCTGAATAGAGCCCTGGCAACACATACACACACATGTGCATGCACACACAATTACACACGTACAGAGGAGAGACCAGTACAATCACTATAACCAATAGGTTAGGAGTCTGGATTTTGTGGAGCACCAGTGTAAGCTCCATTTGAATATTTAGAGGCTGAGCTTTGGGACATGCCAAATGACCAATTGTAGTCATCAATACCGAGGAAAGGAGGTGCTTCAGGGCAAAAAAGGGCAGTTCAATAGGTTAATACACTGGCCTTTCACCTTTTGATTCCAGTTTGGGACATGTCAGCAGAGGAATATATTTTATCTCACACAACCTCCAGGGCATCGCATATGCAACGTCAATCGCAACTTAAGAGAAATTGATGCGTCCATGTAGAAATGTGTCATACTTGACAATACAGAGTTCAACAACCAGGCTTACCTAATGGCCTTGGGCCAATAAACTGCATATTTGGGTGAAGGCAGTCAGTGGCCCAAAATGTGAAAAGACGTATCTCTTCATCTCTGCTTAGCCTATGGTGTGCTTTTTAACTAGTCAATAACATTGAACAATTTGAAATTTAAAGTGAAAAATATTTTGTCACAGAGGCAACAGTTTGCCGAGGATGAAATTGAATTTAACACACATTTCAGAGCAAGATTAATTAAGGTGCTCATTTACAGGTATTTTACAATTTCCCGTTTACAGACAAGTATACTATTTGTCTGCAACAAGGACCAGCAGCACCTTTCAATGCGCTCTGGCAAAGCTGCTAATTGGCTACACCTGACCACTTCTGTATTGACAAATTAGACGAAGCAATAGATTCGTGAGTTATTTGAATGTCATGGATGGTTACATTTACAGGTAAACTTTGATATGAGAGATGATATGCTGTCTGAACATATTAAGGATAACAAGGGCAAAGAAACATTTTCCAATTGATTTCGTTAATTTTCAAAACTGTGGGTTTGGATTTAGACCAATTAACTTGAATACATTGTCTAAATCTCTCAGAAAAATATTATTTCACTCTGCTGAGCCAATGAATATTTATCAGCGGTCCCTGATCTACTGGCCATATATTCCAGTAGGCCATAAATGTTGATGACAAGATGGAAACATGGTTGAATCTTTGCATTCACCATGATACAGATGCTTCATATTTATTCACCCTTGACCCTGAAAAAACAGCATGTCCGGTTATAGCTACAGTGCATAATTGGGGGAAACAATTCAAATGGTTACAAATGGATTCAGATGTACTGTATTTGACTTGTAGGTATTCTGGCACAATCTAGGTAAAAGCCTCCACTGGGTGAGGAGGAGATGGTAAATAATGGAACAAAGTAATTGCCCTCCGCAGACAATAACACCTTTTAGATAAATATTTCAAAAAGGTAAATTGCAGTAGGGTTGTAAAAGGTTTTATTGTACTGATGGGATATAGTAAAAACAGACAAATGAAAAGACTAGAAAGAAAATCCGCTCCTGTAATCTATGAATATTTTACATGTCCTCAGGTTAAAGGCTTGTATAGTGTGGAACAGAGAGCCTGATCTACACCATGTTCTCCTAGGTCAATGACCAGGGAGGGAGAGAGAGCTAGAGTCATAGTGATAAAGGTTAGGGAGGAATGCATTGTACTGTTCTGACACACTTTTTATGAAAAGATGAATTGATCCATCTGTAAGCAGCACTTAGAACCACTCCTCTCCCCGGTCATTACAGTGGGATAAATCAATATTTAATATCCCCTTCTAACAGCCACGCTGGATGATCTTAACCTCTCCTTAATCCCATTAATGTTACCTTTCCAGATTCTTCTTCCTGTAAGCTCTCTCTATGATAAACTTCCAAACAAGACACTGGGAGGGGGGGAGCTATTAAACACCACACCATATTTATGTCAGGTGAGAGGCGCTTTCTTGAAATATTAATATTCTGAAACTGACCAAAGTGAAAGCTTTTATCAGGGGCATTCAAACCGTTCTACTTCGTGGGCTTGTATCAGCAAAAGACTATCTCTCCTCTCTCATTTCACCGCTGAATTACAGCTTACTGTTCTTTATTGCAGCCGAAGGATGAAGATGATGGGGCAATTCTTTTAGCTGACTTGATAAAGCGTGCCTCTCATTTCACACCACCCTAATAGGGCCCGTGTCACTGAAAGTAAGAGGTGACAATATCTCACTATGATTTGCAGGAGGCAGAGAGTCAAGCATGAGCTCGGTTAAGGTGTCATTCAACAAGACAATTAATGATGCTGTAATGAAAACAGAGGCGGGTGTGTGTAAAATGCAATGCAACGATCACTTTTTCCACCTGAACTTGCTCTATTATTTGGCGTTTAGTTTTTGTGTTATTAATACTATAATTATGTTAGTATACTCATTTCTTAAATAGTATTTTAATTTATGGCCTTTTTACATTCACTTACCTTGCCCCCCAACACTCACTCACTCACTCACCCACCCACACACACACACACTCTCTCTCGCTCTTAAAAACATGCTCTCCATACTCAGGTGGCAAGCACAGACAAAAGGTAGATTACAGGTGAAGAGTGACTGACTTTTTCAAGCAGCAAATCCCTTTAGAAAAACAAGGAAAAAAGCATTCTATTCCTCTGAGATGATAGCTTTAACATACGTTGAACAGACAAGTCCAAAATTAGGAGGAAACCAAACTAAATCTTACACAAAAGACTAAGCAGGGAGTAAGAAAAAAAAAAAAAAAAAGTTAAGCTCTACCTGCAAAGGACAATGAAGCTGTAGGTGTGTGCTGCCGGTTGAAAACGGCTCTTTACAGGCATTGTTCAGTTACCGCTTTCATGTCATGGCAGACTCGGCTGCTTGGTTGACCACAGGCTCCCCTTAGTTGAGAGGTAGGGAGGCAGCTGTACCAGCTCCTGTGTTCTCATGCTCAAAGCCTCACCTACCATTTTGTATCGAAACAAAGACAGCAGCCTGTTTTCTTGTTTAAATTCAGGGACATGGAGCATTTATGACAATACAAAAATGTAATAATGTAATAATTGACTGATTATTGTTAAGGTTTTTTTTAGTTTGGGTTAGTAAGGAGAGGCTGTGTCTCTGTCCTCTCTGTGGGCTGCACCAATTTATTTGCTTCTCTTTAGTAAGAGCATAGTTGATTGCCACCTGCATAGACAGTGATCTCCTTCAAACACCAAATAAGAGGGAAATCAAAATAGATATTCATTGACTTTTTTACATATACATTGACCTAGTTGAGGCTGTTGGTTGAAAGTGTCAGGTGCTGAAATATTAATGAGCATCGCTCCCAGTTCCTGCCTGCTCCTCACAGCCAACTGGCAACATGGCATCAAGCTGAAGAGAGGAGGACAGCTTTTTTTCTCTCCTTGATTGACTCATCGATTGAAGATATTTTTAAAGGGAATCCCTGGGAGTGTGTGCTCCTGGTACAAAGCAGCCCCATCCTGTGTCAGGGGACGGAGAGGGCTGCAAGTCTGCTTTAATTGGGCATAGACATCAGAGTCTTCTTAACCCACACCGGGCACCGCCATGGCCTGTCACGGCCCTCACACCAACATCAACAACGCAGAGCCCTCTAAACACGCTCACACACAAGCATATTCATACTAATTTCAATAAACACTCATGTACAAACTGAACTATGCCAGCTCTTATCAATACGACCACCCTGGACACAGATTAAATAAAAAAATGTTAGCCTTAAGAATTACTGATAGATCAAAATCACCATGTTCCACTTTCTTTAATAGTTTCTTTCCTCCGCTACTTGCGGTGTGAGCTGAGCATTCATTGTGGTCAACTTTCTTTTTTTTTTGCTTTATGGAAAAAGCTTGCAATGGAGAAGAGCTGAATCAGGGATAAAACAGAGACAGACTATATGATAGTAGTTCTAACCTTGTCAACTCTGCAGTTGTTGAGGCCCACTGAACTGAGGGCGGACAACTTTGCCTCCATGCTCTGCTGGTGATGTTGCAGCTGTTCCCTCTGGATCTGCTCTCTCATTTTCCGAGCCTCCTGGATGGCCTTCATCACTGTGTCCTGGTCCCCGAACAACGCGGTAGAGTTTAGGCTGGACAGAATATCTAGACACACACATAACAGAGTTAGTCCACTCGAACACACACTGCCAAAAAAGAAAAAAACAACTTCACACAACATCCAGTGGCATTGATTTGTGAGAGATATAACCTAACGAAACCTTGCAGTGTGGTCTCCCTGGATGTGAGTGCATAGTGTGTGTTTGAGCTGATCAAATCTGTGTGCTTGGGTGGGATCTTGTTTGTGAAGTAAAGGTCTTACCCAGAGATGAGCCCCGGCCCAGGCCTCCTACGAATTGGCCGGGGATACCACCCTTGCTGAGCAGACTGTTGGGGCTGCTTTTACTGCCGAGGAACAGGTTTTGTGTCGGGGATGTGGGGGATTTCACCAGGTCCGTCGTCTTTGGCCGAGCAGACAGGTTGAGCGGCTGTGTTCCCTCCTCCTACGGCAGCAGGAGTATTGAGAGGAGACAGATGTTAGTAGGTGTGCCCTTCCTTCCATTTTTGGAGGGGCTAAGGATTCCCAGACAGCACAATTCTCCTCTGTTCCTGGTTAATTATAGGAACCCTATCTTGACCCACACCTCCTCTCTGGTTTTTCCCTCTCTTTTTTCCTCTCTTCTCCTCATCCATCCTTCCTTAGGAGCTGTGCCACTGCGATCTTCTTCACAGTTGCCCAGTGCCTTTGTTCACACTAATTAAAGCAGATTCTGTCTTTCTGTACATCTTCATCTGTTCTCCCTCTCCTCCTCCCTGCTCTCTGTGTCTGTACTCTGGTTCGAAGAATAAATAATGACCAGATAACGGCGGTGCCAATGATCAAAGACAGCTGTTCCATTCATCAGATGTCGACTTGCATTATCTACTTCATTAACTTGTTTTCTAATTTCAATCCTCATTTGTGCATACTTGGTTTTATCATGTGCTTTGATATGCCTATTCCTAAAAAAATATGATTGGAGAAAAACTCAATAGTGTAGTTCTGAGATGAGGTCAGAAGAGGATGCATAAATGCTAAGGTCTCATCCTAAGCATCTGGTCTACTCAAACCAAGGATGTATTTTCTATGGGTGCCTGCAGATACACAATGGGAGGCCTTTCAGAGCTTGCTCCTTTGCTTGAAATAGTTTAAACACTGAACTCTTAAGAGTAGGATAAATGCACACAAAACAAGAGTAACTTTAAGTAACCTATACAAGTTATCAAAGTTGGCAGTAATTGTGTGCAAACTCATGTTGAAAAGAAAGACCATATTTTTTTCCAAATATTGAAACATTAAGATAAATGTTTAATATAATATTTAAATAAATTAGGATTTAATCAGAATGAAACATTTAAAATATCATCAATCCATATTTGGAATATTTGATCACCTGAAATTTAAGAAAATTCCGAGATAATGGACAAACTGCCCTGTAAGCTAAGACACACCAAAATTAATATGCACCGTTGCTTAGAATACAAGAAATGCTGAATGATTCTGAATAGAAACAACTCAAACATTCGCATCCAAGAAGAGAAATGTCACTTTGCACAGTATAAACCACCCTGTGTATACAGCAGTCTTTTAAATCAGATTAGGGCTCACGCTGTCGTTAACAGTCTTTTTCAAAGCCCAAGTGTCTCCTTGTCCAAACATATGGCTCAAGCATAGACTGCCCCAAGGCCTTGTTATTTCTGTGCCAATAACAGTTTGTCATGCAGTGATGCTGAAAGCAGACAAACAGTACTAAAGGCAATCTGATTTAATTTGACTTTGTATATGTTTACTTTCCATTTATGTATAATTCATTTTGTTCAATTTTGTGATATTTTTTATATTTTCACTTGAATTAGTTTTGTATTAATACTGGTCTAACTGGCATCCATGTAATCTGACAAATAGAGAATTGTATTAATGTGATGAAATGATACATGAATACAATGGTAATGGCAATATTCTAATTGAAATCCCACGAGACAGGAGACCTGGAGGATTGTGTATGCGTGTATGAAGAGAAAGCCTTCCTGCTACGACATGATTTATGGTCTTTCTCCATTGTGATATTATTACGCTAAACTACTCCAAATGGGCGTATGTTACTGATTATAGTCTCGGTAAGTGGGGATGATGTACATGGCCTTTCCTCTGCATGGAGGTCTAGTGGAGCCATGCCATACAGCAGCAGCAAACACACATCCTACATTTGGTTTGTTTACAAGGCAAACAAAGTCGTCAATTCCACTTCTCACTTAACTTTTGTCAGCATTTGTATAGCACTGTTGTAATTGTTTTATTCCATTTCAGTTACGAAAAAAGGAAGAAAATAACTTTTCACTGTGAAATAAAAAAATTAGAAACCATGTGTTCCACAAATTACTGGCTTGGAGCAGCCATAGCCATAGCAACCGTGTCCACAGAAGTCTGGTTAAGAGAGAGAGGGCCTTGTTAAAGCCCCACAGATTGATGGCCTGTTAGAGGCTGGGCTCGGCACCGGCCGGCTGCAACACTGAAGTAGTGAGCAGTGTAGATGATTCTATATTGAGAGAGCACCAACTAGGCTAGGCTAGGTCAAGTACCACTCAAGGTCTAGGCTGGTGGGTGGGCAGGTTGAAGGAGTTGAGGGTCGTACCTTGATGTAAGTGATGGGGCTGCAGGAACTCTTGTCATTCTTCAGAGAAGAGGGAGAAATGGGCCCACTGGCATTGAGGGGCTGAGGGAGTGGAGGCATCTTGGCTCCAGGAGAGACCTGCATGCTGGCAAGCTGGGCGGCATACAGTTGCTGTAGGGAGGTGGAGAAACCCGTTAACATCCAAATCCAGCAAACATTCAAAGTTTTATAGTCTGTCTTTTCCTCTCCCTGGAACTCTCTCTGCTTCTATGTCGGCCTCTCTCTCTCTCTCTCTCTCTCTCTCTCTCTCTCTCTCTCTCTCTC